TAAAATCTAGTCAATAATTAATAACAATAATAATAATGATAATATTTTAAATTAATTAATTATTATAAAAAAAAATTTTATATTTAAATATATTCAAACGTTTTTTTTTTAAATTTTTTTTGTAACGGTTTTACGCATGTTATTAATTAATTTTTTTTTTTAATAAATTTTTTGTTTAATAATAATAATAATAATCAGAGTATTAATAAGTTATAATTATGTATTTTATTTTATTTTAAATAAAATTTATTTATCATGTATTTGCCATAAAAAAAAAATAAATAAATAAATAAAAGTTTTGCGTGTGTGTGTGTGTGTGCGAGTGCAATAGAAATAAGAAATACATAAAATTTTATGTAAATTATTATTAATTTTTGAAAAAAATAATATAGATATATATTTATATTAATAATAAATTTGTTTTTTTTTTTTTAATTTAAACCTTAACGATTGATCGAATAAGTTATTAATATTATTATTCTCATCTTTATGACGTGAAATATTTAATAATAATAATGATATATTAAATTTTTATTAATAATTTATTTATTATTATTATTATTATTATATTTTTATTAAATAAATAATTTTCAATCATCTTCGTTAATTGAATCTTTAAAAGTTTTTTAATTTAAAAAAAAATTCGCCTTTGGCATTTTTTTAATTTTATTAAATTTTAATTAAAATTTTTTTTTTTAGAAATAATAATAATAATAACGTTATGAATAAATTAATATAAGAAGTTATTAAATATAATAAAATAGTTCGTTGACCTTTGTTTTATTTTACTTATCATCATTTCGACGAATGCTTTATACCAACTTTTAAAATCCGTTGAATTTTTTATATTAAAAAGTAAATATTCTTATCAAAAATTTTTTTTCTTGTTATCAGTTTCCCCCCCCCCCATACTTTGTTCAATCCATCTAAAAATTTTTATTACGGTTTAAAATTTCATTTTTTTTTTTAGTTATTGTGCAAATTTTTGTTGTTTTCTTATTTTCCTCTTCCAACAATTCGGTAAGTAAAAAACAAAAAAATTTCATCAATAATAATAATAATAATAATAATAATAATAATAATAATAATAATAATAATAATAATAAATATTAACCATCACAGTCGTCGAGTTATCATCAACAAAAAAAAAAAAAAAATTATTTTAATAATAATAAACTCAAAAGAAATTATTTATTAAACATAAAATTTTAATAACTTATTAACAATAAATTTTCATTTACTCATACCAAAAACTATTAAATAAATTTTTTTATGTAACTTGAGGCAAATTTAAAACTATTTTTTTTTTAATAATAAACTTTGTACTTTCTATTGTGAAACAATAACGAAAAAAAAAAAAAATTTATCTTCAACTCAGACAAACATACAAACATACCTCTTGAATTTTATACTTTTTTTAAATATTTTATATATATATATTCATCAAGAGGTAATTCAGCATTAAAATTTGACGCCATTTAATTAAATTTTATTCACTATTTGAACCGATAAGAAATTTATTTTTTAATATTAAAACAAAATGAAACCGTAATTTAATATCATTATTATTATTATAACTACAATAACAGACTGTGAAGGACTTAAAACATTTAAAAATATTTTAATTATTAATTCAAAACAATTTAACAACATTTATTTATGAACTCGTGACAATATTTAAATACAATATACAATATATAAAACTTGATAACCTAATAATATTTTTTTATATAGTTTTTATAAACAAACATTTTTCTTCATTATAAAGACACCTTATATATTTTTATTTATAATTAATTAAAATAATTATAATTTATTTATTATTGCTAAATATATATATATATGTATTTATATACAAAATGTCACATAATGGAATTTTTTAACCAGTCGAATAATATCTATATATATATATTTAAATTAATTTGATCTAAATAAAATAAAAAAAAAAAAAAAAAAAGAAAAATTTATTTTTAAAGCATAAACACTGGTAGTATCACAAAATTTATTGTTTATTAACTTTTAAATTAAGGCTGAATCGAAAAAAAAAAAAAAATTAACAAATTTAAATAAATAAATAAATGGTTTGTTGCCCAAATTATTATCAATTAAATTTTCCTCTTTTTTTTTTTTTTTTAATATGCTTTCTTCTTTTGAACATGTTTCCCTTTATTTTCATCTAATGCCATCAATTCATTCCCTGAAAATTTTTTTTTTTTTACGTATACATAATATTAGTGCAATTCATTAAAATCGATAAAAAATTTAATGCACAAATGAGATAACTTTGCACAGAATATGATGATCTCAATCTTAATCATGATATTCATTAAATTAATAATATTTTCTAGACATTAAATAAACTTTATTTTC